TACGCGGTATATGCGAGTATATAGTATAAAAAAGCGAGGACTTTTTTTCCCGGGGACATTTTGTTACCTGTCAACAGAGACAAAATATCACACGTTTTTCCCGTCACAGAAAAAAATAATTTGCCTTTATGGGTGAGTGTTGCAAGACTTTAGACATATGACCTTGTGTTAGATAATCTTGAATAATACTGGAGTACTGTATCCTAAGACCCTCATCATTTTCCAATCTTTTTTCAAGGGAAAATCTACGGTGGGCTGTGATGACGAATCACCTAAAAAATAACTATCTATTTGAAAGGGCAAAGCTACGGTGTACGCTTCCCGTTTATAAGTTGATTTAAAAAAGTTTTCACACTCTCTATATCTTCATCGCTCAAGCTCACAAAATCGTCTTAATAATGTTTCAAGTGAGGAATTCGTTGTAAGGAAAAAAATATCAATCAATCAATCAATCAATCTTTATTTGTCCGTATACCATAAATAGGTTTTGACACGTCAGAAAATATAGTAAATATTAAATTAGTACAATGCATATATATAAAAAGAATAATAAAAACAGTTTAAAATTTCAAATAAATAAAAGCTAGACAGACCATGTGGCTAAAACAGAATAATATAGATTATAAACAATTTAAAATTTTAGTTAAAAAGAGACAAAACAGAGATAAAATATAAACAAGTAAAGGTAAAAATGACTAAAGAAAATACTACTACACAGATACACAAAATTAAAGTAAACAAACAATGAAATAAATTATATCATTAAAATTATTTAATAGTTCTCCAAGGCGTATGTAAATATTCAGTAACGTTATAAAAAGAATGACTAAATAAGTGCGCCTTAACGACTCTTTTAAATTTAAAAAAATTGTAAGGTTTGATACAATCAGGAACGATATTGTATAAGTCGACCCTTAGACTGTTATTTTTAGACCTACTTAGTTTATAATAGAACGTTTTTATTTTTTTTTTTGGTCCTCGTGTAGAATAGTTGTGAGAGAAGTCATTGGTTTCAAATTTATTTTTGTTTTTATGAATTTCCAGTATGGTGTAATATATGAAAACAGATGGAAGAGGCATAATATTTAATTTTTTAAAAATAGGTCGGCAGTGAGCACGATATTCAGCATTTACGATTATACGGATTATTTTTTTGCAATAAAAACGCCTTGCTCGCTTTGGAAGAGTTACCCCACAAAATTACACCATATTGTATATGTGAATGAACTAAAGAAAAATAGCACGATCTTAGGGTGGCTATACAAAGTGATCGTTTTAAATTCCTTAAAATAAATAATGATTTGGATAACTTAGATAAAACTAAATCAATGTGATTGCTCCAAGTGAGTTGTTCATCAATATATATGCCTAAAACTTTAACACACCTGCCGGTTGCAACCTTATTGTTTGTGGAGAGGGTAATTATGTGAGTTTTATCTTCATTTAGTTTTAAATTGTTCTTATTAAACCAGGTTATTTCTAATTGTATTAAATTATGACTTTTAAGGGCTAGAGTTTCGATATTTTGGTCCGAAATCAGTAATGAAGTATCGTCAGCATATGCAACAGCGTGATATATGTGAATTGGAGGAATTACTGGTGCGCAACCCATTAGTACATATCTAAGTATTGTCCCTATATGGGCTAAGGGGTATTCGGAGGACCACTAAACGACGACTAAATTCTAAGGATAAGGAATTAGCGTGAGTGCCACTGTGCAATAGATACCTTCGTGCAAATTTCCAAAGGCGTCTAATCCGTAATAGTCATATTCATATCTACCATGATGGTAATATGCCAATGTGCCATATTTTATGAAATCATAATATGTGTCTGGCTAATAACTAATATTAGACAATAAACTACTTTATTTTTCATTAGCCTTTTATATGTCAATTATATCTGCCATATGAGATATATAAAGCAGTCTATGACGCCCGAGGGCATAATGAGAGGGCATTAATGAGATGACAATCCATTATGCCCTCTCATTATGTCCTCAAACTGCATGTCAAATATATTGACGGAGTTATGTAATAAAAAAGATGCTACTTGATTCGTATGAAGCACTAACAATAATCATTACATTTGTATATTGGAAATGCATTATTTGGAACGATGAAAAATAAAATGTTGTATGCACCTCAGGCATTACTCGATATTTAACCCTCGGGCGACTTACAATCCCTCGGGCCAGAGGCCCTCGGGCTCTGTCGCCCTCGGCATAAATATCACCTTAATGCCCTTGATACATAAATAACTATTTGGTTCATGATCAGCTTTTAATTTCAGTTACATAATTTGTCAATTTCACCTTACGTAGCTTCGTTATGGTTCAATTTATAAATGAAATATGCAACCAAGTGAAGTGAAATGAAAATATTAGTTAGAAGCAATGTTAAACCTTCGCGTGTTTCAAATTAAACGTTAATTCCAAATTAAGTGTGGGTTTTATGAAGTGAAATACGAAAATGAATTATGTGTAAAAGATAAAAGGCCGATGTATTTTCCTTTTATCCCTTGTATAATACAATTTTGTATTCGTATTACTTATTACCTTACTGAAACACCCATTTAAATTGGAGTGCTTAATTCAAAATGAATAACGTTCTTTAAATCAGAAGGATCTTACTAACAACTTAGTTTACGGGTTAAGCTACAAATACGTTACTACTACTAAACGATTTGAGAATTAGTGTACAAGTACAAATAAACGTTCAAAACAAACGTTTATTTATTCTCGACAACCGTATTCAAATAAATTGTTTTGTCGACTTTAAATAAGTACCTGTCACTTCTTTAAATAAGTAGTATACCTTTAGTTATTCAGCTACGGTTACTAAAGGTTTTCCTCAGTGGTGGTTCACTTAGTGCCACCATAAAAGGGTGTTTGGTTTCCGAGGAAAGTCTAAGATGCGGTACACATGCCTTTTAAGAAAATTCTTAGCGGATTTTCCTTAAGAGGGAAGATAGCTATTGTCTGCGTTTACCAATGTGTCCGTCTGTGTAAATATCTACTCTCCTTTTAGTATGGTCATATTATGTGTGTGCACAAGTTTACTTTAGAAGATAGCAATTAATAATGTTGGTGGATCCTCTTCTATATGTCGTATCATTAGAACCCTTGAGTGTTATAAAGTAGCCAAAAAATAACTGCCTAACGCTAGGAAAATAGTGAAAAACTTTTGTGGCCGAGACAAAAAGAATTCGGATTACTAAAACAAAAATGTAATTAATTAATCGCACTTTTCACAAGTTAAACCGTTCAAAATAAAGAGGTTGGATTTAAACACCCTTTGGGATAATCGTTGATGAATTCAAAAGAACTCGAATTTCTGCTTTTTAATGAATTTATTCTGTTTGCCTAATACATGGCAATTATCTCGAATGAGAAATTAAAGCATTCCCCGACATACAAAATGGAATATTATTCTATTATTTGATTTAAATTCCAATATTTGACGAATAAGAACCTTCCTAATAATTAATAACGTTTAGAACACCGGAATGTGGTATAAAAACGAGCTAGTTGGTGGAAAACAATTGCACATTCTCATTTCCTTTTCCTTACTTGTATTGTACCCTTTATTTCCCTTTCAAATTCTATATTCCTTTTATGTACGTCAATTCGAGCGTAAATTTTCAATAACCTTTTCAAAACACAAACACACCTTACGCTAAATGAAAAGCGCGAGCTTGTTTCAATATATTGACATCGAAAATTATTCGCCCTTCAGGAAAACCGATACAATAGCTTGCAGACCACATCCGTGGAAGTTAATACAGTTTGAGAGAAAATTAACAATGTGGTGGTCCTGCAAATTAAATTTGCTGCTCTGTAAAGTTATAATAGTACGGTATACTGAACGGACCGACAGGACGTAATCTAATTAACCATATATTGTTCCGCAATAAGATTGAGTTTTTGTACAAGTTTACTAATTAAGAAGATTCAAACGTGAAATAATTCATCAACGCAGTTCTCATGAAGGCCAATGGTATGCATTCACTTTACATCTTCATATAAAATTTAGCTAATGCCCCCTCAAATTGGAGGAAATTCGTATTATTCCCCAATTATAACTTGGCCCATATGCAAAAATTAGGGCAAAATATAACGATGATGTTTCACCCTAACTTTTAACAAAGGAATTAATAATCCGCATGTAATGAACGCTAATGATAGAAAATCTACCGCAACGCCAGCCCCAAAATTGAATCGTTTCTCAATGAAGGGATTTTCATGTCACCCTTTTAACGAGAAACACAGGAAAGTCGTTATGAAATATTTAAAAAAAAATGGCAGTAAGTTAATAAATTGAGACGAAACGTTCTATTGACAGCTTAAGCATACCATAACATTTCAAAGGCGGCAGGTGTGGCGCCCATAAAACTCGTCGTCGACGTTCAGCTTTCGATCTATATACCATTTTAAGTTTGAGATTAATCACAATACCTGGTGGAAGGTAGTGTGGGTGCTGTAAAAAGTGAACTTCTACACCAAAAATTAATGGCGGCTAGATTATTTTATGAGCTGTCGAGCTTCAAACTTTTACTATTTAAAGCGTTGGTAGGAAAAAAACACAGTTTTAAACAGTTACTGCTCTCATTTTAATTTTGTTACACCTACTCCCGTTTTTAGGTCAAGTACTCCTGGTTTATTGATTAAGCTCCTTAATAATTCTCTAGTATCTGAGATGGGGAACTTCTTAGACATTAAAAGTGGTTCCATGGCGTAAGGTTGTAGGTTAGTGAAATTTATGCTGTTTCTATAAAATTCCATTATGAAAAGGGTATGAAACTTGGGAGCTTTTCGGAGCTTTCGAAGTTTCAGGCGAGTTCATTGTAAATTTAGGTAATAGACGGTTCCATGACGGCATTGTAAATGGGATGCTTGGCCACATAACGCTGGACACAGTTAATTTGGTGTGCAATAGAGGTTGCGAGATCTCCAAAGGTGGAGAACTGCCCTCAACTTTAGATGAAGGATCTTAGATTACCTTGCAGTCGTCGCAGTGGTGGGCAATTGAGTAGGTCTGACCGCAATCGTAGCGGGTTAGCACCTCAGCAAGTTCACACGAGATTCGAGCGGCCAACGCGTCCACCTCGAGCAGTGCGTCCAGCAGGTGGCGGCAAGTTTCGTCATCTTGGAGCGCGCTTTCGGGCATCGCCGTATCCACCGCGTGTTCGCAGCAGTGGTGCATATGAAGTCCCTGCAGCGCGCGCCGCCTGCGGTCAGGGCTGGAGCCGCGGCCGCACACCTCGTCTTTGTGCGATTCTTCCAAATATTGAAGGCACTGAGTAGTACTGTTGCCGGAACAGGGCGGCGGACAAAGGGGCCCGGGGCCCCACATGGCGGAGCACGCGCCCTGCAGGTCGGCCGCGCTGGTGGGCTGCAGGTCGCACGCCGACAACCAGGGGTTGATGACTTCGAGCGGCGGGGTGGCGGCGAGCGCCAAGCCGGCCATCAGCAGCAGCGACAGGCCCGCCAGGGCCCGGAGCATTCTGTGTTGCAGGGCGCGGTGGCGGCTCGGTCGTCGGCAGTCACGGGAGCCGGGAGCATCGCTGCGGGCGGCCGGAGTGCCCCCCCTCGCGGCTCCAATCGCCCCCGGGGGCCAACTGCCAGGGCCCGCTAGGCCGCCCGGGTGCGGGCCCCCCACAGCCTACGCTCATGCTGCATGCTCACCGTTGCACATCACATCACTGCACTACTACACACTAGACGCTCACGAGATGTCCGCCATCTTGAGTAGGTATGTTGGTCACAGTCCTCCCCGCCCGGGCGCGAGCTGTGCCGGCCGTCTCTCGCTCGACACTGGCGCGGTGGCGGCGTCGAAATACGCAAGCGCAGCCTAAATCGATAGCCGCCCCCAATCAATCGCGCCACCTCGCATGCACGTTGATAATTCGTTGCAACAACACGCACGCGGTCAGGTGTCGACACGCTGCAACTTCTTGTTTGACGACAGGACGGCGCCTTTTGTAGAGATTTTTCGCACTACACGCAGTTTCAAATTCACCGAAGCAAAATTTAAAATCACTCTCTCTATTAACTTTCCAAACACAAACAGAGTTTCACAGGAAATACATTTGCCTACTCTACCCACATTCCTCAGTTTTACCACATCTAAGCATTAATGAAATCCGTTTAAATATCAAAAAACACGCTTAAAAAATAATTAAAACGGATGGACTAACCTAATCCCGCGCAAAATAATTACAGAAAGTAAGTTTCGGCTTGCTAGTTGGTTCGAATCCGTAAGTAATTTCAACGATCACTTTTGCCTCTATCAGTTTTTGTAATTAAAATTCCGCTTCCCCCATTATTTTTATCACGTAGGTAGTATCTATCGAATGTCCGTTTTCAAATTTTTCATTTGTCCAACTCATCGAACCGCAACGAATTTCTAATATTTGTTAAAGAATACGTTTGCAAAAATTAATGGTTGCTCATTTACAGCATGCACGCTACATTAAATGATACGCAACATACCAGGAAAGTGAGGTTTTTTTTATTATTCCACAAAACGAAACCGGGGTATGTAATTCAAATAAACTTTTCGGGAATTACTGCAATTTTCATTGTGAAACCGCGATACGGAAATGAACTGAGGTAAAGCAAATCTTTCAGTAGAAGTTGTAGACAAATTGAATTCATTAGGTTACATGCATTTCAAACTTTTTTATGCATTTTTTGAATTGTTTTTTTTTTTAACTAAATGAGATTCCAACTTGCACTGTCCCCCATATTTATCGGATGATGTCAAAGCAATCTATATTTTCTGGCTCTCATCGCAACAATCTGATGACATAGCCGATACAGATGTCCGTATAGGTTAGTTGCATCGAAGTTCTCTCATAATTTACATTATTTTAATACGTATGTACTTAAACACCGACAGCTTTAGCATGGGTGTACTTTTATGTGTGTCGATTCGCATACACCCATTTATAAACAGGTACACTTATAGTGTATTCAGAAAATAATGTTACTTTTCTCATTAACGCTGGGGGTGTTCCCAATAGTATTGCGATAAATGGTATTATTGGATTTGCATCTTAAATGTTTGGGAAAAACCGGATTTTTAAGTACGAAAGTCGTTCAAAACAATCCTTACGGCTTGTTTAAATGAATAGAACAATAAGCACCAATCACCCACCAGTCAGCAGTTCTCAACAGAATATAAATATTACACCAGTTACGATACGAAATCATGCTTGTATTTTAGCAGTTCACATTAAAAATTACAACATTTGTTACAAATAAACATGAAAATATGTACATTATTTACTTAATTGCTACCTATTATAATAATCGACATGAATTAAGTTCATATGAATTCACGCGTCGTTGTCACTTTCACTTAAATAATCGCTTTCTTCATCACTTCCTGTATTTACAGTAAAAACCAAAGCCCTTACATCGTCTATAATTTTTTCACGATTGAAAGTATCCTTGATTATTTCTTCTGTATGGGTTACGCAGCGATTCCACACGTCTGGAGTTACTTTAGCTAACGCGTCGTTCCAGGTTTTAAGAACATCTTCTGGTCTTCCCGGCGTACCAACAATATGGTCATCGTAAAACTTTTTCGAAATTCCCCATACCAGTTCAATGGGATTGAAATGGCAATGGTAAGGCGGCAAACGCAGAACCTCGTGGCCATATTGTAATGTCATTTCATCGACAACATATTTAGTTATGGTTGCTTGACTGTGATTTTTTACAATTTCTAACAATTTGGCCTTAAACATCGCAGTACCAAATGGTCTATTCTTCATTTTCAACCAATTCGAAATTTCCTCTTTGGTTGAAGAAGCTGTTGGAATCTTTTCACTTTTCCGCGTGTGATAAGATGCATTGTCTAAAACAATAATTGAGGGCTGAGCAAGTTTCTTTAGGAAAGATTCTTCAAACCATTTTTCAAATAGTTCGGCGTTCATATTGTCGTGGTAATCGAACGATTTGTTGGTACTCGAAAATATTAAGCTGCTGCCTTCTATAAACCCATTTTTGCCACCAGCATGAATAATTATGTATCGTTTACCATCTGAAGCCTTATGAGTTGTTGCAAACTTTTAGCGCGGTCATCTTGCCAAGTACGCTTTGTTGCGCCTCTGCTAAACACCCAGGTTTCGTCTAAAAAAACGAAATCATGCGGAATTTCGGATTCGAGATTTCTGATGTATTTTCGCAAAAACACATTCCGCATGGAAACCACATGACTTTGTTCACACGAACCCCGTCTGCTATTGGTCATCTTAAATTTAAAGCCCATTTCTTTCAGTGCATAGAACAAGCTTGTTCTGCCCAAATCACACAAGTCTTTCAATTTTATCACCGCCAACAAAGTATCTAGAGTTACGTGCTCTTTATTTGCGTACATATCATAAATCAGATATCGGATCTTTTTATTTTCTAGTAGGTCCGTCCTACGTGGTTTAGAACGGCGATATGGATTTCTTTTTAAATCACTTCCAATCTCTCGCATAGCACATGTCCTCACAACTGTTTGTTTCGATACCTGCACCGCATCCGCTGTTCTTTGTTGAACTGCCATTACTGAAGTAAGTACTCCACCATGATTTTTTTCTTTTACAAAATAATCATACACGTTCAACTAAATTTTACGTTTGGCCTCAGTGGCGTCCATTTTGACCAGGTTGTACAGGAAACTAAGTGAGTATAACAATTCAGTTGCAATATATATAGAACCCCTTCCTAAAGACATTAACAAATATTTTCTTATTTTCTTTTACTTATAAAACATTAATATTGATTACAATAATTAGGAAGTCATTATGGTACAAGTACAAATCTAAATATAATTAACTTCTGAGGTAAACAAGCGATTATTGTATTGAAAGTGATAACGATAATACCCCTAGCACATTATGTACATATTTGCATATCATTACATTATATTATGTATTACGTACCATTTGAATATCGTATAAGTTTTTAGCGCATTTTACGAACGTAAAATTACCGTTATTTTACCATTTAAAGACAAGCGTTATACCTTCGTATCGAAATTGGTGTAATATTTATAATTTGTTGAGAACTGCTGACTGCTGGGTGATTGGTGTTTATTGTTCTATTCATTTAAACAAGCCGTAAGGATTGTTTTATACGACTTTCGCCCTTAAAAATCCGGTTTTTCCAATACATTTAAGATGCAAATCCAATAATACCATTTATCGCAATACTATTGGGAACACCCCCAGCGCTAATGAGAAAAGTAACATTATTTTCTGAATACAGTATAGTAACAACTATTCACGCATTATACAAATGAGATAAAAATTAGTTTATGTAACTGTGACTATTTAATTTGGTATAAGAAATAATGTTATGGAGGAGAGAGTTCCATTTTGGAATGTGCGTATTGAAGTTCATCGGTAACATTTTTGCGGTCCTTCTTGTGAATTTTACGTTTACTACTATTATAGTTTGTTAATGGAAGAGTTTACACTTTGTACTGCAATATCAGAATCAGTTGGCTTTATTATGGGAAACTTTAAGATGCGGTGTGGGGGTTTGTGGGAAAAATTCACAAACAATCATTTTCCTGTGAACATTTCCTACGCCATGTTTAATTGATTAAGCGTTTGTTTAAACGTCCACCTATTTTAAGGATTTTGAGGCAAATTTATGGATTATGCAGTCTAAACTGTTTTGCCGACAAAGGTATTATTACAACTTTTTCGTTTAGTTTTTTTTATCAAACCTCATCATTCAGCAAGGCTAAGAATTTTCTTACGAAGAACAGATGAATTACTTTTTGGTTTCCTTGAATGTCTGTCTTGACATGCATGTGTATGTGTATGAAGCCGGATAACCTTGCAGAAGCAATACGGATCTGTCATTGAGAATAAGATTTCTGTTCACGCACGTAGCCGACAATAATTTGCGCCGTGCTGTGACTGAATTGCAGACAGCGTATGCAGCTTCTGCCTCCCCGGTTGACCAGATTTCTTTCACGCGGTATCCCGTATTTTCGACGCACCAATGGGCATGTGAGTTGGTTCCCGTCATGAAGAATTCTGGCAAGGGAATTCTTTACAATTGGTGTGACCAGGTAACTTCTTGGAGTAATTCTTTTTTTGTGTCGACATGACATGCAGGTCGCATCTGTCCTCTTAACTTAGTAGTCCCATTGCATCCAGGAAGGGACTAATGCCCAGTTGCACTAACAAAATTGCTTTGCTTAAAGTGAACTCGAACTTAAAACCTATGGCAACGATTTTAGACAATAGTTGCTATGGCATAAAAGTTATGCTTAACTTTAAGCGATACTTAATTTTGACGGTGCAATTGGCCGTAAGTGTTTTGAGGTCAAAGGTTTCTTTGGCTCATGTTAAGAGCTAAGAACAGTACTAACCATGGTCGAGTTTTCTTCAATTTCATCGGGGCCACCTTAGATTTGGCCATTAACGTGGCGGTTTTCATTTGAAAGGTGCTTCCACCGCACCCTCGCCGGAAAATCTTGAACCTAGATTCCGTCTGTAGAAGGCAAGCGGTGACCTTTTGCAATTACTCAGCTTCTCCTTTCACCAGCAGGCCATCTTCCTGCGATATGGCTGCGTCTTGGGCGTGGACCAATTTCTCAGAATTTTGTCGGTGCGGCCGTGTCCGTAATGGACACGAGGCTCTGCTTGAGCACTCCACATATAAGCTTTGAAGGTCCGTTTTTGTCAAGGATCTACTGTAAACGTTTATCTAAAAATCGCATCTATGTGTGAACTAATTGTTCACGTGCGCCTTGAATTTGGGTTTATTTGAAGGACTTA